TGTCATAACTTATTTGAAAAATAATTTTTAATATAACAATTAATTCTTGACTCGCAATATTTAATTATTTATATTCCAATATTATCGGATTCAAGGTCAATGGAATTTAAAATAACCGACCAACATGGCCTGTTTCTTTTCTTTTTTTTTTTTAATGAAAAGACAATTTCATTCGAACAAAGTAAGCTGAAGGATTAATGGGCATGGTCCGGATGGCTTCAATTAATGTTCCCCTTTATTTTTTTTAAAATTCTTTTGATGAGGTCAATTTTCCTTTATGCTTGTTAATGTTATAGTTGACCTACGTATTTATCTAACAAATAACAATTTTTTTCTTACCTATAAAATTCATGTGAGTTACCTCCATGGACTAAATAAAACTAGAGCATTGGTCCAAAAAAAATAAAATAAAACTAGAGCAAGTTTCACAATAGAAATAAATACTTCTCCGGTTATTAATGTAATAACTATTTAATTAATGTGATTATATTAAGAAATTTAGATAAGTTAATTAGTTATAAGAAATATGACATATTTTTTTTAAATATCATAATTATCTTTTTTGATGTCCTCCCTCACTCTCCTACTTGATTATGGTTAAGACAATATCAATAGAAATAATTTATGAAAAACTGAAAAACATGAGAATTAAGCCTTATATTTAGAACCAAAATCAACTCAATAATTAAGTCTTATATTAAGGATCAAAAGAGTATTTACAAATCATCTATTAATAAAATTCTTATATAGATTTGGTGAGATTTGAATCCCATACCTCTCCTTCCTGGTTGGAGGAGAATAAAAGGAAGGGAGTAGATTTTGATGGATTCAATTTGAAAAATAAATAAATGGAATTATAAAAAAGAAAGATAAAACAATAGGAAAAAATAATTAAAAAATTTTAACTCCAGATCTTTTTTTAAAAAAAAAAGACAATTCATTACAATTTTTTCTCGTTACTATTGCCCTCCGACCAAACAGATCAGAATTGCTTATTGATTAGGGTTGTATTAGTTTTTACTTGCAATTCACAAATATTTCTTACCTATCTTTCTCAATCTTAAGTCATAAGCCACTTTATTATTGTTAATTATGTTATTTGATTATGTGGTCACGTTAGGGGAAAAAGTTGCAAGAAAATGTGTCATATATAGTCATGTTGTATTATTGTATCAGCCATAAATGGCAATTAGGACAGCAACTTTCCTTCCCATCACAAGTTGCCAACTTTTTTTAGAATTTATAATTAAGAAAAAAACCTTTAAAATTTTGAATTATTTAGAATGCACTAATAATTTATTACATGTAATTGGAAGCAAATGTTCTCGCTTTTTTTCGGGTCGTCGTCATCAAGTCTTAGGTTTTTTTGGGTCCTCTTATTTTTCTTAACTAAATACAGACAATATTATGCCAACCTGAGATAAAGTGAGATTCACACTTTTTTGAAATTACGAACATTTATTTAGTGAACCTCGTAAATGTTTCTCTGTAAGTTTTGACCCTGCGGACATGGGACTAAATTCTTTAAATTGCCACCCTGGCAATTTCTGTCTATAGATTAAAAAAAAAAGTCAAATTCTATCAAAGCAAGTTAATGAAAAATCAAACCTAATACGATGTCCGATCCAGCTAGTTAATTAACTTGAGGAGATTAAGAAAACAAATTAAGTTAGTTATTTACAATAAATAGGTATTGTCTTTCCTAAAATATCCTTATTAATCAAGTATATTTCTTAGAACTATCATTATTAAAAGGACTATTTTGAAAAAAAAAAACATAAATATGAAAGACAAAATATATTAGATCAAAATAAAAATCAAACCAGATCTTACATTAAAAATCAAAAGTAATATGTTAAATGTTCTATCAAATGATAGTTATATAGCTAATACCAAGAAATAAAAAACTGGACCAGACACTAAAGCGGTTGAAATAGTAGTTCAAGGGTCAGTTGGTCTGATCGATATCAACTTAGGGTCCAACTGGTCATATTAAAATAATATAATTTAATTGAAAATAACAAGATAGAACAAAATTAATAATTACTAATAACAAAATATAAGGAAATATAATAATAGTTTGATTGTAACAATAACAAAGTATAGCAACATTGAGAATTTTGATCCTTATGATTCATCATTAACTAAAATTAACAATCATTAATACCAAAATCATCATTAAAATTCATTTAAATCTATAAGAGCTGAGAGATTCAGAGCTGAATGAGAAAAAAATAGGACCATTAATAACATAATCATCCAAATCAGTTCATTAGTGGTTCATACTGTTTTTCACCGGTTCACTAGGATTTAACTGGTTCGTTACCGGTTCAACTCTCCACGGGTTTAACATTTAAGCCAAATTGGACTACTGGCTGGTTTTTCGGTTTAACCGGCCAATTAGGCCTGATTTTTTGTTCTCTGGCTAATACACATGATTAACAAGGATATTTCAAAAAAGATAATACCTATTTATTACGAATAACTAACTTAACAAATTTTCTTTATATCCTCAAATTAATTAATTACCTTTTATATTAAGAACTTGAGGTCAAATTTTGGACTTAGGCATGTGCAAGCCGTCTTGTAGTTGAAAACTAATGCCGCAAGAAACTTAGTACTGCCTCTAATATCGTGTATTATTGATTTGGTCTTTAATATAAGAACTGGTTGACTGTTTGAGTAAATTATGATTTGATGGAGCTTTCAATATATACAATTACTACACAAACAAATTTAAAAAAATAGATAAATATAATAAACAAAATAAATTAAAATCTTATACTAAATTACATATCAAGTTAACTCTTATAGATAGAGGTACTACATTCATTTTAGATAATTAATTTTTGTATGGTCTTTGAGTGTAACTTTCACGTTGAAATTTTTGACCTTTGAAGAGCAATTCACCCGTAACTTTCGAGGTGGTACCAGGTGGTTGGAAGAGAAATGGTTCCCGACCATTTTCTAAATCACTTTAAAATATTTAATTAAGACAAGGTAAGCTTGTAATTATGTTCATCGATGATCTATCTATTTCTTTTTGGGCCAACGATTATCTATTTAATACTATTAAGCATCTATCCATAAAATATCAATAACAAAAATTTAAACAAAAATAATTTTAATGGATAAGGTTCGGTTGAATTTATTACTTGATCAATAAATATACGTATTTATTTTAAGTTACTTTTTTTACTCATATTTAAAATTACTAATAAATATTAAACAAATTAGATTTTAGGACGTTGATACTTCGAAAATGACCTACAATAGACATGACAGTGAATGACATAAAAAATTTAATTATATTTGAAATTCACATTAGAATTAGTTTTACCTATGGCTTGTGATAGCATTGCAAATAGGGGTGGAAACAGGCCAGGCGGCCTGTCAGGGGCCTATGGCCTGGCCTGCATTTGGCCTGGCCTGTTTCCCAAAAAAGACAGGCTCAGGCCTGTTTGAAGGCCTGTTTAACTAAACAGGCCAGGCTTAGGCTTTTTAAAAAGCCTGTTAAGCCTGTTAGGCCGGCCTGGGCCTGTTAGGAATTTATAATCATAATATATGAAAAAATTAATTAATGCTATTATTGTTAATGTGCTCTTTTAATTTATTTTTTAATTTTAATATATAGTTAATAGCTTAATCTTTTCTTAGATTTTGAAGTTTAGATGACAAGTGAAGATAAAAATATAATTTAAAATAATAATATCAATAAATAATGTGATTTTTAAATCTTAAAAATATAAAGAAAATAGGAAAGAAAAATTTTGTTCCAAGAATGATAAATTAACTAACTTACGTATTATGTTAATTTAAGTATGATACCCTCTTTATTTATTATAAAATTAGTATTTTTTTCTCTTTATTTATTTGTCTTAATTTTAATTTTTTGTGTGTACTTAAACGTAGTCTTATTCTAAATTTTAACATATAATTACAATTAGTTTTCAATAATATTCTTATAAATTATAATTAAGATTTAAAATAGTACTTATGATACTAAAATTTAAATAAAAGACAAGACTAAAAATTTAATTATTATGTACGTTTTTAAATCTTAGCTTTTTTTAAAAAAAATAATTATTATAATTTGAATTTTTTTAAAAATACAGGCTTTTTAACAGGCTTCAGGCCAGGCCAGGCCAGGCCTTTATACAGGCCAGGCTCAGGCTGAAAAATAAGCCTGTAACAGGCCACAGGCCAGGCTCAGGCTAATAGGCTCCAAAACAGGCCTGGCCTGTTAAGAGCAAAGCCTGGCCTGGCCTGGCCTGTTTCCATCCTTAATTGCAAATACCATCAAAATTCAGAAGACGGATACAAATATCTTCATGTAGCCTCTGTTCTTGTTTGTTTCAGCTCTCAAAAAAGTTTTTTTTTTTATACGCAAGTTGAAACATATTTTTTCATATATCTAATCCTTAAAATTAATTTTAAAAAACAAATCCAAACATCTCCTCAATTGTTTTAATTTTAAAGAATATACGTCATATTCCAAATTTCAAGGTATAATTACTACTTATTTTTAATAATATCCCCGTTGGATAATAAAATATTAAATGAAAGTAAAGATTTAAAAACACTTCCCTTTTTTTTGGTCTATGTGGACAAACCGACAAAGTAGATAGGAACACTGGAAGAGTTTGTATTATTGTATAAATAAAACAGCGCAAGAATTATATGGAAGAATGAAGATGCATGGCTCAAAGTTAAGCTAACAGGAAAGAAGGCAGGGACAGTTGGGAAGATTTTCAATTTAAGTAACCTAAACCCAGCAACAAAAGATCTCAATTTTTTCACTTTGACCAAACATCATACGTATATTTTACTATATTACTAATATTTTATTTTAATTATTATTATTGCATTTATGCCAGTGCTACCATATTCGATGGCTTCTTCTCTGGGGCAAGGCTATAAAATTGCGTACCACACGACACCTAACCAACTCGCCAGAATAGTAGAGCCTACGAGCTTCACCTTTCGTATTCGTATTTGTGAGCCTTCTTTAATGCTCTGCCTCCTCCAGTTGTACCCCTTCCATTACTCCTTCCAAGCTCAAAATAAGCCACGCATTATTCTTCAAACACAATAAGGCAATTCTAGAGAGAGAGAGAGAGAGGGATTATTGGGAGAAAAGACATGAGCTGTGTTGAGGCACGGGCTGTGTTGAAGAGGAAAGGAAGAGAAACAATGGAGGAAACCCATTTGCAGGCTTTGTCTTACACTCCCACCAAGGAACATAGAACGAAGAAGAAGACAGGAAAGGATCAGGAGGAGATCAGAAGGGTCGTTAAAGCAAGACGCTACCCTCTTTTGTCATTCTGGGAGCTGCCGGAGTACATGAAGGACAACGAGTATATTCTCCATTATTACAGAGCAAATTGGCCTCTCAAGCAAGCCCTCCTCAGCGTCTTCCGTTGGCATAACGAAACTCTCAACGTCTGGACGTAAGCTGCTTCTTCATGCTTCGTTGCTTCTTCCATAATTACTCCAATAACTGATCTTCTTGATTGTTTCTTTCTTTATTTTGACTAATATTTTATATTTTCGTTCTTCCTTTATTGTATTTGCAGGCACTTGTTTGGGTTTTTGCTGTTTTTGGGATTGACTCTGGCGAATTTGATGCAGCCTCAAGTGGCGGATCTTTTAGGCCTATTTACCAGGTTTCTTCAATACATTCCTATTTTTTTCCCCCAAACCAATTCTTTTCTTCTATGTGTTTGTGTAAATGACAGGCTCACTGTCAGAGAATCTATGCTCTGTTATGTTTCCTGCGATTGCTGTGTTGGAAGATTTTGAGTCATAAATGATTAGGCCCTGAAATATATAACCTAGAGGAGATTAGCAACTCATTTACGACAACAAGCTTATTTTATCCTCGGAATTTAGTTTTCTGTTACAAAATCTAAAGTACATGACATAAATGAGAGTTAACGTGATCATCAATTGATCATCTGGAATTTTTCATTCAAGTGTCGTTCTTCTTCAAACGACAACATCTGCTGCGATTTCTCGTAACCCCATTAAACTTGATGACAAAAATGACTGAGGGCATTTTTTATTGATATTCCTTCAGTCCTTGATATAAAACCTAATTGTTGAGTTGAATTTGATTCTAAATATAAGGCATGTTTCTTATATTTATTATTTTTTCCTCAATTACTTTTATAAATACTTCCTCAACCATAATCAAGTAGAAGAGGGAGAGAGGATATTAAGAAAGATGATTATGGTGTTTTAGGAAAAACATGTCATATTTCTTATAATTAACTAACTTACCTAACTTCCTTAATCTAATCAAATTAGTTAAATAGGTCTTATATTAAGGATCGGATGAGTAATTTTTTTGGGTCCAAAAACTAAGAATTTAATTGGAACAGAACATATAACAGTCATTGTTTCAGTCCTCAAACAAGTCTCAGAAATGCGTATAAGGATAGGGTTTGCTCAATTGGTAAAATTCTAATGTCCTGTGTGTCTAGAAACTCAGCTGGAGCAATCTATTTCACTCTTCAAATTTTCTTTTGTACCCAAAAGTAAAAAAAATTTATTAAAAAAAAAAAGCCTTAGGAACAGAAATAATTTCTTCGTCAGATCTTAAATTGCAGACAACAACCATGACCTGGGAGCTGTGTTTGGTTGCTCACCTAACTCTCTTGGCAATTTTGGTTAGCTAACTTGATTCACAGCACTCAGCAAACTCTGTCTATCAACCATTCTCTGACTTTCATCAAATCTTCTTCCCTTTTCTCTCTTTGTATTTTAGCGCGTCCTAACACGTGCATCAAATGATGCAATGTGCCATCTAGAATTAATTCATTATTGCCAACTAGCATGGGCTCCATGCATCATACACGAGTACATAAAAAATAAGACATACATTGTAAGAAAAAATCGAAGTTTAAAATAACAAAATGGGAATAAATAGTAAAGTAACAGTGATTTATTTTTTCAATCGGCTTATATATTTGTTGATCGATTGTACTCTAAACTTGCATTATCATCTATCTGAAGGTCACTTTCTTCAAGCGCTGACAAAAATGTTTCCCAGAACTTCAAAGATCTGTTTCTGGTGTGTCAGCTCACAAACTTACTTCTGAAATCTCTATTTTATGTTTTTTTTCCCCCTGAGGAACTGACATGCTATGAACCTGCAGGGAACACCATTACTGATTGATTTAAACCATCAAGCACCTTTGAAACTGGAAGTTCAATCATCAGAGTTGGGACCAGCTAGATGGCCATTCTTTGTTTTCTTAGGTGGTTCTATGTTCTGTCTTCTCTCTAGCAGCACATGCCACCTCTTTTCCTGTCACTCCCATACCTTAAACCTGTTCCTTTTAAGAATAGATTATGTCGGAATCACTGTAATGATCATCACCTCCTTTTTCCCTCAAATCTACTACGTCTTCTTGTGTGATCCTCATTGGCAAATCATCTACCTTGGAGGGATCACAGCCATGGGATTGTTCACCATTATAACATTGCTTTCGCCTGCTCTTACGACCAACAAATACCGAGCTTTTCGAGCCATGCTGTTCTGTTCCATGGGACTTTTTGGCATCATCCCTGCAATTCATGCCACTATTGTGAACTGGGGAAATCCTAGGAGGAATATCACACTTGCATATGAAGCTGCCATGGGCTTATTTTACTTGACAGGGACAATGTTCTATGTTAGCAGAATACCAGAAAGATGGAAGCCCGGTTGGTTTGATCTTGCTGGGCATAGTCATCAGATATTTCATGTTTTTGTTGTGTTTGGTGCTTTGGCACATTATGCGGCTACTCTCAAATTGTTGGATTGGCGCGTCAACTTTGGGTGTGACAGGGTTCATCAGTGATTTATATGATATTTGTGGTAAATAGGAAACATATTATTTAAGTTGGGTAGATTTTCTCGAAAGAGTCAAAAGTCTTTCTGGGGAATCTTTGTGAAAGTAGTAGCATAGTAAAAGGCGATTCTGCCAAGTTATTGAGATGGTACTATTTATTCATTTGATTTGTAGGATTTTCTATAACTGTGAGATAGTGTCATATTAGAAGTTTGAAGATGTTGTTTAATTTCCATTCTTTTCATTTTTTTTTCACTCGAGGTTTGTTTATTATTATCATCTTTTTTTTTTGGGGGGGGTGATTTTCTGGTTAATGTGGTAATCGTCTTTCTTGTAAATTTCCCTTTGACTTCTTCTTCGTTTAGCATTTCTCCAGCAACTTTCCAGATGTTTACCCAAGTCCGACTTTTTCGGTCATATAAACGAATGGAGGATAATTGAGTAACTTGGCAACTTACAGTTAACAATTTAATGAGAGGGACAATTATTGCGTCCAGCATTTTTGTTTTTGATTTACATAATTTCGATAAAAAATATATTATTATTAAACCTTCAGTCATTTTCCATTGTAGTAATAATGAAAACATGTGACGTGCAATAAAAGCAAGAGAAGGGCGAGTTGTTGAACTGTGACCATAGCTGCTACTATTACACAAATATTTCTCTTCATTTCTCTACACGTCAATGCATTATACAGTATAATCACTTTTTTTAAAATTATTATTTGAGTATTATTACGTCTAATTGGTGTAGCTCTTTTAAAATCATTTTTTTGCTTAAATAGCAAAAGTTATTTTCAATTCTAAATATTTATAAATTAAATTTAATTCTAAATATAAAATCTCAATTCATTTTATCTCTCAAATTAATAATTTTTTTAAAAATATCCCTATTAATATAAGAATTATCATAAAAGGGTAGTTTCAATACACATATTTTTATTTATAAATGTATCATAAAAATAATTTCACGTATGAATGAGCTTTGGGAAAAGTTTAGTAAAGGATTACAGTAAAACTTTATTTACTAATCGAATCGATAAAATTCTGATATTTAACAAGTTTGTTAATCACTAACAAGTTAGTATAGTTTGAGAAAATGACAAGTCGTGAGCTTAACTATCATTTTGTGGGGTTACTTTCGTTATTTTGCTTCGAAATTTTTGTTTCCACTTCAGTTTCAAAATTCTCTCATATACTACCTCCGGTCCTTAATATAAGATCTTGTTTAACTTTTATTTTATTCTAAATATAAAATCCTAATCTACTTTCTCTATCATATTTATGTATTTTTTTTAAATAAGTCCTTCTAATAATAATAGTTCTAGCCAATACATTTGATTAGTAAAGATATTTTAGGACAATTTCTATTCATCACGAATAACTAACTTAACTTATTTTTTTAATCTTCTCAAATTAATCAATTAGCTCTTATAATTAAGACCGAAAGTAGTATTTTCAGAATTCTTTAGACCTAATTGGTAAATAATGATTTACTACGGTCCTTTATTGAAATTGTCCCATGAATTATATAAAGAATGGGCTTAATTTCATTCCCACGTGTTTTGTTTGGGTTTTTAAAGGCTTTTTCGATTTGGATTGCGAAACGTCCAGCTCATCGTGGATCATACCCGTACGCTTTTCAGAACTCCTTCCCTAAATTCCCATCACCCCAATCTCTCCTCCTTGTCTCCTTAAAATTTGGCAGTTTTGTGAAATAATAACTCTGATTCTTTAAGAAAAACAATTTTATTAAAACAGCAAAATTAGAAACGAGGTTTACTAGCAAATGATCTTATAATTAGTAGTGTGAAAATTTTATTATAAATAAAAAGATTACGAGTCTGATTTTGCTTGTAATCTTATTACTTGCCACTTCAACTCAAAAAAAGAAGAGGTATATTGGTGCAAAATAAATAAGGGAGAATGAAAAAAAAACATGAAAATTGCATAATCTCAAATAAATACTTCCTACAAAAATATGTTATTATTTTCAAGTCAAGTGTAGTCAAAACATGTTAATTTCTATTATTTTCCCAATAAATAATTTTAGGCTTTTATCTTAATTAAAATGCCAATTCGATGTCTATCTGATACTGTGACGAGTGTTTTTGTCCCTCAAAATAAATCCTGTGGATTTTTGAAGGGCCTCTATTTTTAATTGGCCAATGACAAGTATATATATGATTTTAATCAGATAATTATTTCCTAACTGAATCATCAGATAATGTGGGCGGATGATTATTCTGAGCATATATAAAAGAAAGGATTGGGAACAAATTCAGGAAATCGCAAAATTATAGCTATATTGGCTAACTGATTGAAATCCACTGAAGCAAAAACAAAAACAAAAAAACAAAAAAACAAAAAGAAACATTACATTGAAGGCACAAAAAATGGGGGAAACAAAGGAGCATGAAGATATATAAAAAGCATATATTACCTCCGGTCTTATTTATAAAACTTTATTTGTAGACTATAAATAAAGTCTTATAATTAGAACCAGAGAAATATTCTATATTTGCTGAGATATTTGTATTTGCTTTCATATGTGAAGCCATCTGAACTATGATTTTGGTAAAAGCGTGTAGTTTCCTGAACAAATTAATGTGATGATGCTTAATTAACCGTATATCTAATTTTCACGAAAAAAATTTATATAATTTATATATACATAGCAAACGTGAGTTGTGAGTTCTAACTCTTTATAAATATATATATATATATAAAATAATCGTGTGAGTTATCACAAAAATAAATTAGTGTTTGAAATAACACACCGCCATTATGGTATACTTATGATACAAGTATTGTGGTTTTACTACTTTTCATGGAGCCTCTTTTGGTTTTATTTATTTATTTTGCCATCTCTTCTGTTTTTATCACTCCATATTCTTTTGCCTTTTTTTTTTTAACCTCAATTCTTTTGCAATTTAATACTGTTCATTGAATCTTACTCTTCTGGTTCTATTTATAAAGCACTTCTAACCAAGATTGTCAAATTCGCGAGTTTAAACAAACTCGTGAGAATGATATAAGCTCGTATCGTAAACTCAAATCGTGAACTCATAAAAGCTTACTTTTATTGATAAACTCGTATTAAAAGTATATAATCAAATAATTAGTATATAAAAATGAGAACAATTTCATTTAAATATATTTTAAATTTAAATAATTGAAATTATATCCATCAATGTTCATAATTTATCACATTTAACAAAGAAATTTCTATAAAATTCATATCTAAAGTCACTAAACATAATCAAATCTAATAATTTAGTACGAGTTTAAGAGTAAGTTGACACGATTTTGTAAGCTTAAGACGTAAAAATGATAAACTCGGTAAATGAACTCGTAAGTTTAACTAAGTTTACAGTTATCACGAGTTTAAGAGTAAATCGACACGATTTTGTTAGCTGAAAACGTAAAAACATTAAACTCAGAGAGTCAAGTCGCGAGTTTGATAACAATTCTTTCAACATGTTTCATACAGACTAAGAAAAACCTTAAACTATATTACTCATGTCCAAAACGATTTAAAAATACTGAGTTATAAAATAAAAAAAAAAAAAAAAGAAGTAAGTAATACTCCTCCAGTCCTTAATATAAGTATAAGACTCATTTAACTAATTTGATTAGATTAAGGAATTAGTTAATTATAAGAAAAGTGACACATTTTTCCTAAAACACCATAACTATTTTTCTTAATACCCCCTCTTCCTCTTCTACTTGATTATGATTGAGGGAGTATCTATAGGGATAATTTAGAGAAAATTGATAAATATGAAAAAATGGGTCTTATATTTAAGACTAAAATCAACTCAAAAATTGGGTCTTATATTAAGAATCGGAAGAGTATAAATTAAGATATGCAGTGACTAGATGACTGAAGCGTAGTAATAACATATTTTAAAATACATTATCAACCAAGCCGAAAATGAAAAACTGTGGTATAGAGCATCCGCAGGGGGACAACTGGCTGGAAGGACCATAGTTTAAGTTGTAACCATACGTCGTAGCAACTGTTTTTTTTCTTTGGGCGTGAGTGGTCAAATTTATTGAGGAATCATAATCAATATACATATATGCACACTCTATATTACGACATTTTAATGCCCTTTTGTTTTAGGAGTCGTGCCTTTATTATGACAAGGTTGAATTGTGGCGGGTAAAACCGAGTTGAATAGTGTGGGTCAAACCACAATTTGAAGCCCTTATGTCATTCTGCACCACTAAACATATGTTTTTTTTTTTGGCCAGCACACTAATTATATATAATTGATTCATAGTTATTTCATAGCATCAATTTTCAGAATGCTGATCATTATACTTAATTAAATATAAGAAATTAAAGTCAGACGCAACCACTTTAGAATTCTCTATAAAAACCTGTAACTAAAGAATTAAATTTAATTAATTATTTTCAAAAGTTATGATTAATCGATTGTTTAAGGTTCCAGATCATAGAAACACCCTATAAGGACGAGAAATGCCTAAGGGAAATGAGATGGGGAAAACTTATAACGCATCAATATCTCAAAACTCTAATAATAAAAACATTATTTTCTTTTTTTCATATTTTTATTTTCTCAAAATTCATTTTGTATATAGAAAATTCAGCCAGGAATTAGGTTCGGGTAAGTCTTGGAAGGAAAGGGAAGGCATGGAGGCATTTGAGAAAATTCTCCGAAAAAGTAAACATTTTTATTCCGTACGCAACGGCAAGAGGAAAAAACATGTATGCGGTCGCAGGTAGGGGTGTTCAAGGTCGGCTCGTTCTGGTCTCGGTCTTATTGGGACGGGACGGATCCGTCCCGAAATTTTTCAGGACGGGACAAAAAAGGGACCGGGACACGGGACGGGGTCGTCCAATCCCGGTCCCGTCCCGGTTCTTTTTTTTTAAATTTTTTATCCTATTTATATAATATCATTTTTTTCATATTTTTTTAAGATTTGAGACTATTGTATGGAACTATAGATATATTTATTTAGAGTTTTTATATTTGTTAATGATTTGAGATTATTGATTATTAGAATTTTTAGCAAGTTTTTATTGTGTTAAAAGCTTTTGTTTAGAGTTTTTAATGATTATTATATGTAATATTTTGAGCTTTTGTTTAAGAGTGCCCAAACAAATAAAAAAATAAAAAGATTTTTTTTATAAGGTTTAAGCTCCAAAAAATATAATTAAAAAATTCAGATTTTATTAAAAAAAATTTAAAAAAATGTT